TACAGCGGGCGGGCAGCAGGTCACCCCCACTCCACGGGTGAGCGGGCTGCGGGGCGGGTGGGGGGGTTGAATGAGCCCTTGGGATGATGCTCCAGACAGTTTTCAGAGGAAAGGCCGCAACAGCGCCCTGCTCTGAGGCTCATATGCGCCGCCGACCGCGTCGAGGCTTTGGAGATGGTCTGTAGTGGGAGCTGGCCGGGTGTTAATGGGAATTGGCATTGCTTGTCCTATGTGTTTTGCTCGCTCGGGGTGGTGGGGCGGTGGGCAGATCCTTTCCTTCCCTCCTTTTTGGTTTTCTCGTTTGCTTGGATGTTTTACTGAGTGTCTTACACTATTCTTTCTAAAATACAAGTGCTAGAAAGTCGTCGTCGTCCCGTTCCCCCCCCCCCCCCCCCCCGGCTTTTCATAGCATTGGTAACAGGCAGCACAACACTGAGGAAATGTGCCCACAGTAGTAAATGCGATTAAAATGTCTCTCCATAAATGAGCAAAGATAAATGTGGATTGGTCCATGTTTGTACTTCCATTTCCATTAAGATACTTTCATTCTGGAGAAAAGATTCTTCCTAAAGATATCCTTTATATTCTTTTCTCCTTGATGCTTGCCAAAGAAAGCTTTACGTTTAATAGAAAATGAATGAGAGTTTGACCTCATAGCAGTTTACAGATCTCCTTTTCCTTCCCATAACTTTTTAGTTGACTATGTACTGTCCATGTCTGAATGTGGCAGGCTCATGGGTTGTATTATGTTGGGGGAAGTGCTTTGTGTCTAAGGTAGAACACAGTATAACTTGTAGTATTGCTATATAATGTGGTATAAACATACGCAAATGTTTTATGCCTGTATGAGGCTAAGTTTTATTTTAGAATATATCTAATATAATTGTCCTTGTTTGCTTTGCCCACCAAAGCTGCGTGCAAAGAATACAGCACGTTGATAGGCTTATTGCCCTGGGGCATATTTTAAAGATAATATTTATGATAAATCACGAATTCCATAACTTCATACCATATGTTTTCCTATACTGAGTAGAAACTACTATGTTGGGAAATAAACGTTAGATATGCAGGAAAGAGGGAAAGGAACTTGGTAGCATAAGGACTACTACTAACTTGTTCGGATCAAGGCTTTGCCCTTGAAGGGGACTTGGATGTACGTGAAAAAAAAAAACTGTTGCTGATAGAGTGATAAAGAGAATGAGAGCCTAGCTACTGCTGCTCTGTAAATGCTCTATAGACTCATCTTTGAAGCCTTCCATCAGCTGTAATTTTTTCTTTTTTTCTTGTGTTAGCACCTGAATTGTAACCTAAACTTTGAATTTTCATTATTTTGCTTGGACTAAATACCTTTGTCCTGCAGGTTTCAGAATATTTTAGTCATTAAGCTGCTGATATGTGTATGTGTGTATATATATATATATATATATATCAAGAATGCACGTGTATATATATGTATATCAAGAATATAGTTGCAAAACTCACAATTGCAAAACTTCTTATAACTTTCAGATGATGCAGACAATGGTTCCAAAATCATGGAGAGCCATGAAATTCTACTTCACTACTGTTTATCAAGAAATATGGGTTGGCGTAGCATTAACAGCTTATGCCTATTACAAAATTTCTTATGGTGGTAAGTTGCTATAGTCCTCATTAGAAAAGTCTTCCTTAGCCTTCATTACAAATCCTGGTTTGTAGGAAAGAACGTCCTTAACATTGAAAATAAGCCACTGAAGATATTCAGCAAATAAGATGTTACTCTTACTTAACACTAAGTCTTTGCCGCAAAAGTTCACACATGCTCAGCGTAGAAGGTTACACAATTAAAGATATCATTAAGATACGAGTTTAACTGTGCCTACGTTATGAGGGTAAGGCAGGAGTTGTTTAAAATTCAGATATCTAAGTTGCAGTCTATAGCCAGAAGCTTTTCCTGTAAATTGATCCTGAATCAATGTAAAACCTTTTTAACTGGTTTTGAACTAGAATTTATTTTCTTTAGAATTTTTGTAGAATCCTTATTTTTTGAGCACTTATTAAAAAGCCGAAAAAACCCAAAGTTCTCAGAAGGTTCTCCTACATGAACCTGTTAGTGTAATGTATTTTGAGCTGGTGTGCCTCAGAATGTCAGGTACAATACTGAAGATTAAAAAGTGTTTTTTCTCTGGTGGTCTTGGATCACTTTCTTGCAGAAAAATACAGAACATCTAACGTAAAACTGATAATTTTGAGTGGGCCAGGTCCCTCAACACAGAAAGGCAGAGTAAATCATGGTATCTTTAAGATCTTGTCCTTGATTTGGGGTATGCTGAAAAATTTCCAAGTCAGCTCTCTTTAATTAGAGTACTGTAGAGAGAGTGCACAAGGAAGAGCAACTACCTCATTGTGGGAACACCTGAGTGATGTTACCTCCACTCGTCTCTATCTTTGTTCAAAAAAACTTGCGGCATAACTTAAAACTTTTATGCTACAGTTACAAGTTTAGGTAAATAGAGGTAGCATACAGCCAGAGGAGAGAATAACTTAATATTGGCTTTAACTTTTAGTTTTTCATTTTAAGCTGCAGTCAAGAATAGACAGACTGTTTAAAGTTTGTGTTCGTGCGATGCTGTTTTGATTTCATTTAGATAGTATTAGTAGTTTCATTAGATAGTAGATGTGGTGATGTACCTTTTTTTTTGAGGTCCCGAGCCTTGATGTGAGAGAATTTTATGCTAGGCGTTATGTTAAAGTGAAAACAACTTTTAATAGCTGTAGCCTTTCCTGTAGTTTAAGGAAAAGGCACGTAAATGATATTTATAAAACAGTACGTTGCAGAATAACTTAGGTTGAAAGGGAACTCTGGGGGTCATGTGGTCCAAACCCCTGCTCAAAGTAGTTAGATCAGATTGCTCATGGCCTTATTCAAAATTCAAATGATTACATGATTACTTCCAAGGATGGAGACTCCACAACCTCTTGTGACTGTTCTTCTTACGAAAATTTTTTTCCTTGTATCTATGTCCTCTCACTGTGAATCAGTCTTTCAGGAAAATAATCAAAATGAGAATGCAAAACAAGGTATTTAAATTGTAAAGGAAGATTTTAAAAGCAAACTGTGTTCTTATCTCTTCAATTTACATTCATATATTGTGTATACATCCATATATTGTGTAAAACAGTACCAATTTGTCTGTCAGTCTTCTGAAGAAAGACACTTTCTGTAAGAGTCTCAATCCTAAATACATGGAGTCTTGGTTAATTAAAAATAAGCCACTTTAAAAAAATCTATATAATATGCACATATGCACTATAAAAAGGACATCTTGTTCACTTTTCAAGCTCAGTTAGCAAATCATTACTACAATTCATTCAGCTTCTACCGCAAAATATAAATAGGAAACACATTTTAAACTCTTTGTTCAGCTTGCTTTTTTTTTTCCTTTCTTTTCTAGGCAAAAAAGCAGTGGCAGATAGTAAGTATTAAAAGTCTAATACCCTGTTGTATTCTTTTTAAATGAGTGCAATAAAAATAGCTTAATATATTTGATGCAAGTTTGAGTTTTAAGCAATGGATTTAGCAAACGTTTAAAGACAACTTCAAAATACCTAGTTTTGGCTGTCTTGATGGTGTTATTATCTGGAAACATCTGTGAATATGCACTGCTGCTACCTCTCATAAGTTTTCCTTCTTACACGATTTAGGGGCAGAATGGAAATTGCATGGTTTTTTGTATGTGGGGGGAAGGGCTGTAGACAATTATTTAAATAAGAGAATTAACCATTTCTTAGGATCCTTTAGATCAGCTAAATCTTAAGAGTACCTGTTATTTTAGCTGCCAAGAAACTAACGAGTTTGAACTTGTAAGAAATAGTTTCCAAAATACTTAAGGACGATAACATAAATAAACTTTAATTTAGAAACAACCATACCAAAATGGAGGAAAAGTTGAGGTTTGCCTATAATAAATTCTCCAAACTTGTGAAAAAGCATTCTTAGTATGTTAGCTAGATATCTTAGTATGTTAGCTTAGATATATGTATGTAGTTTGCCTTTTTTTTTTTTTTTTATTTGACAGGGCAGTTGAATCTGCCAATTCTTACATTCAGATTCAGATACAGTTGACTGTTTTAGGTTCTGAACTACATTCCTGAACTGATTTTTCTCTACTGTTTGAACAGTCTAAATCATGTCTTTCAGAGTCCTCTCATGCTGGCCATCATTAAAGATCTCTCTTCCTGGACTATGAGCTTGGCGATTCATCATCTTTGCTGTAAATGAAGCAAGTTACCACCATAGGGAAGTTAATATACTTCTAGAACCATTCCTAATCCATCTGCTGTACTTATAGAAAGAATAAACATATGGCGTAAGAAGGAATTAAACATGTTGAACAAAGTATTCCGGCGTGTATTTTAAATTCTAATGTTTAGAATAAGTGGTTTTTATTTTACACATTTCTTTCAAGTTCCATGTTAAACTTCTGCAGTGGTATTTTGAAAAAGGACCAAATTTCTATAACTAAACTTCTTAATAGAATTAACCAACACTTCATATAAAAGCATGAAGCCTTTTTTACGGTATCTTTTTTGTCTAGCGCTTTTGAAATACTCCATTTATTTTTAAAATGCAATTTAAGATTATGCAAAGTGCGAAGATTTTATTGCCAGCTCTTTGTCATCTTGTGGTGCAATACTTAAGGCTACAAAACGGAATTTTTTTAACTGTATGCTTTTGAAGAATTCTAGCCTTACAGAAGTCAGTGTTTGGGAGTGTACATACCGAATATCTGTACTAAGCATGCATACTGCATAAAACCGGAATTTTACTTCACATCATGTTTTGTTTAAATTTAGCCTAATCTGCTTTAGAGAGGATTAAGAGGCTTAAGTCACTGTAATGACTTCACGCTTATGTACGTCTTTTTAACTACTGAAACATCCTAAATCTTTCAGCTTGGTAAAGTATTAGGTTCCAGTCTCTCAGATTGTAGTATCTGGCTGTAACTGAAACACTCTGTATTTGAATGGTCAAGAATTCAATAACCTGACTTGCTGGTGACGTCATGGTAAACCTTCCGACATTGTGTTGTCTTTAGTTTCTCGAAAATCTATGCTTCTGCTTAAACTTAAGATCTGTTCCTGCTCTCAAGTAGAGTAAGATTACCCATCACATCATTTCTCTATTTGAAAGCTATTTAGCAGTAATACTGACATGGGTTGTGTCAATTTCAGGTAGCTCCTTTTTTTTAAAAAAAAAACAAAAAAAAACAAAAAAAAACAGAGGCAGGTACAGCATTAATCACTTGTTTTGAAAATAATAGGTGATATCTATCTTTTATGCATTCTTGACATTTTTTCCACCTTCTGCAGTTTTCCTTCTTTCTACATCTTTCTTGGTATGTTTTAGAAAGGAGCTGATGAGACTATAATGAGCTGTCTGGGAGTTTTTCATTTTTGTCTGTTCTTGCTATGTTTTCCCACCTCAGAATGAATGAGTGAGAGGTAGAAGGAATGTACTGTTTGTTTCTTTACATACAACCAAAAGTCTCCAGGAGAAGAGAACAGAAAATGCAAGAAGAAAAAAACAGAGCTTCAGTTGAACAGATGTTAGCTGCTGGTGATTACAGGGTGGGTCATAGTTGTGGTATAGTTAATAAATGGTTCAGATGGAAAATTTATGCCAACTACTGAGCTAGATTTGCATTTGTGATGCAAATTTATGATCACTGGGCTATAGTTCCTAAGATATTACACTTATTTCAAATGACCTGCTTTAGCAACTTTCAATTACGGGAGCTAGCAAAAAAACATGAATGATTACAGGATTGGTGTGATTTTAGCTACAGTCTACCACATTGGAACTGAGCTACATCAGCATGCTGTCTTATCTCTTGGACGCTAATGGAAAAGCAGGTGAGAAGCTTTTGTTTAAGTGCCCTGGGAGCACAGTTAGCAGCAGTTTTAGATAAACTTAACCCACTTCAACTCTTAACGCTCCTTTGGTATCGGTATTGGCTTGCTAGATTTTCTAACAGGGAGAGGAAGTAGATGTGGGCAGCGCTCTGCATTATAAAAAACCTGCAAGTTCTACTGAAATAATGCTATCTGCAGCTGGGTTCCTCCCAGTTTGCATTTTTGCAAGTTTTTTTCATTTCTGCAGTTTTCATGCAAAATGGCACTTGTTGCATTTTGTTGCATATTTCTATATTCCTTCCTGTTTATGATCCCTAACATATAGACCTCCACAAAAGATAAAGGAAATTAAACTGGTGTCTAAGTTTCAATATTTTTTTTCCACTTGAGTAGGATATAGAAGGAAATCTGACAGTCACTGTCAGGATTATACTTCAGCTTTATTCAAAATCGCAGGTCGACTCAGCCAAAGAGTGCTGTATCGCTATCTGTTTCTCCGTGCAGAAGCATGCTGGGCAGTGAAAAAGGCAATAGAGGAAAGTAGTCAAGATGATATGAAAAGAGCCCTTTCTTGTTTACTCTAAGCAGTGCAAGGAGTAATCAGGAGTTTTCTTTGTAGCACTGGTATCTGGAACACAGTCCTAGGTAGAGAAGCAAAACAAAGGCCTGCTGGCCTGTTTCTCTGCCTGCAAAGGTCTTGCAATATCAAGGATGTTTCCGACTCCCCTTTTCTTTGGAGGATAGTGTTGCTGGTTGGTGCCCCAAATGACATAAACGTACAGCTAGTATCAACATCTTTAGTCATGGAACTTTACCAGAAAGTAGTGTTTACTCCCCCTATAAGTTTTTTTTCTCCTGTCACAGGCATTTTTTCATACGGAGTTCTTTGACAAAAACAAACTTCAGGAAATGCAGGCTTGAATTTGTTCCAGTTCTAACATAATGTCCCATTACTATGTTTCTGTAAGAAATTTTGCTAGAAACTATGAATGTGTGTCTTACAGGCATGTCCACACAGTGTAGTTAGCCAGAATATCTTCCTAATTAATACTTTTATTTTAGAATGTGTGTCTTTTTTCTAATTTAGTTAAGGTGATTTTCAAAGCTGACCTAAAACAAAAAGATTTTTTTATTCCAGGTAAGTGTCTATGCAGTTTACTTTATTTTGGATTACCTTTTTAGTGACGACAAGCACCACCTCCTAAACACACCCATTTCCTATGAAAATAACCACGCGAGATCAGGATTCTTTATCCATATAGGTAATGTCTGTCACGGCTCAGAACAAAACACTGATGAGGAAATGTTTGCTCCTGGTTGACATAACATGCTGTATGTATTTAGCTGCTGTCTCTCCAGGTTGCTGACATCTTCAGAAGGAGAGGATTACATTTACACTTCTTTGTGCCCAATTTGCTGCCTGTGATATGGCACTGGCAGTGACCAAAACTGACCATTTACAATGCTTGTGGAACAACAAACTTCTACAGGGGTTGAAAAGCCCCGTGCAATTACTGCAGTCTCACCTTGACCAGGTTTTGCTGTGGTGGTGTTTTGTTTTGTTTTTTAATCAATACATTAACACCCTGCTCATGAGTGTTCATGTTCTAATGACAAATATCTCATCATCCTATCTGCTAGATGTGGTCGTCTTACCATACCAATACTTTAGAGCTGCCTTTCCATGTGGAAGCTGGTTTACAGCCAGGATGTTTCATCTTACAGCTCTGGAATTTCTAGAACATTTTCAAGTCTCGTTCTGCAGCTCAGAATCTCAGAGTATCCCGTGCATGCCAATAGAGTATGGTGGAATACTCTAGGCAAGGAGCAAAAATACAGTCAGAGCCAAGGAAACATTAGTCAGAGCCCAACCTATTTAACCTCTTTAATGGCTAACTTAGAGAAAAACCCCAAACGTGTATTCATGTTAATAGAGAGGATGAGTAAAGTTGCAGGAAATGATCTAAAGTGACTAAAAGAGCTGAACTAGCCTCCTATCTGTCTGAATCATGATAGCAAACCACTGTTTAAAGTACAAATACACCCTGATACAGAGCTGGTATGTATATGTGTACTGTGCTTTCATTTCAGTCCCCAAGGAAGAAAAACTATCAGGTGGTTGTTAGACAGAGGTGATTGTGTGTGACATCACCACCAGATGGCTGCAATGAAACTAAGTGAGGAAATCAACATGTGAAGTCTCTATTGTTTCATTCACGGAAATCTGTAAAGCTACTAGGAAGGAAAGAATAGTAGGAGATAGGAGATTCCCTTAGGCATTGAGTATGTTGGCTAACGATTTAGTAGATGGAGGAAGAAGAAATTACAAGATAGTTCTTGAACAGCAAGCTCTTCGTACTAAAATTCCATGACCTTTAGCAACCAACATTTAACAACTAATACTCTCTTTAAGAATATAAAGTCATGTGATTTCGATATGTTAATTTATGGGGAACTCTTAAAACAAGAAATTCCTGTATTCTTCTGCACTGCTGCAGGCAGTGTACTTGAAGGCAATGACTCTCCCCTAACTGAAAATGAGCTGACCACCCCAAGAATGGATTCTTTGGAAATTTTAATTAAACTCTGCTAAATGAATGGTGATTTCTTTGCCTGTGGTTTAACAGTACGAGTGCTTTGGCAGCTACACCAGCTTGTGCAGTTTCCACCCCTGTGCTACAGCGCATTGCTTCTCTTATTTGCATTGCTATAACTACTTGCGAATCAACTTGTGCTCAGTCAATTTTTAATAATTTTATAGTTTTTCTCTAAAATAATAAAGCATTTTTTTTAATTTTAATTTGGATGCATTCTCTGATCCTAGTTACAGCAAAGCTGCTTTATAACTTGTGCTACAGCACAACAGCAGAACTGTTTTGCAGAAAAGGGGTAGAATCAGGGGTTTCTACCTGACTGTTCACTCCTCTGGCTCTCCGGTATCAACGTAACCCTTAAATAATTTAATGCGAATTTCCTCCTCACGCCCAGCTACGCACATCAAAGTAGTGTCTCTCCCGTAAGAACTGTCATCACTGTCAATGCTCACAGCAATACAAGTAATACAGAACTCCACCCTGTTTACAAATCGGGAATGTCAGCATGTGCTTCAGCAAAAACGGAGAAACCTGCTTCCTTCCTCTGTGATGGTATGTCCCTTTCTCAAACTTACAGTATCAATTAACCGGAACAAAAGAACAAACTAACAAGTAGGGAACAGAGAGAACAATTACACCACAGTATCTCAATGCTCAATACTTGCAGAAAGAATACTTTCAGGTTTAGTAATAAAGGAAAAGTTTGACAACGTTTCTTCTAATCAAAAGTTATACTTTGATATCTTATATCAAAAGTCATCAAGCAGAAAACGTTAATAATTATTATGACCTTCAGAAACTTAAAGTAACTATTTGTTTTTAAATTGGCATGGCCTTTAATTATTTAATATCCATATCATGACAGCAACTTCAGCTATTTGTTAGACAACAG